AAAAAAAAAAAAAAAAGAAAAAAGAAAGGAATTCGCTTATAAAGGGTATCGATCGTATCGCTGTTGCTGATTGAGCGTTAGATTTGGAATTTCGTCGACCTACTGGATTTACTGCGATGAGAAATCGTGATCGTATTGACAATGAAGACGTATCGAGGAAGGAAAGTGTTTCTTCATTAGATGAAAATTGCCCGGGCAATTTTCGAAATAATCCTCCTTTGCTGGTAAATGAAAGGAACTTCTCATATCGAAATATGAAAAATATTTTATAAGCAAACGACTTATATAACTTTTTATTACGTTTGCCATATACGTGGACTGTGGATGTTTAAATATTTGTGAGAAATTTAAAAGTGCAGAAATATACAGAATGTTCGGTATAAAAAATAAATTATTATAGAATGTTTAATAGGCGGAATAAATCACTGTTTAGCCATAGTTTCTTTACTTATATTTATGAAACATATACAATACTCAAAGCGGTTTTATAGTATTTCGAAAGATTAAAAAGAAATAAATATCTTAATCTTCATGTGTTTAGAAATACTTCTCAACACAAAAATATCAGAAAATGCGAAATGAAGTTAAAAGTGATTGATTTATTATTTTCTATCTGACTGATAGATGGTTGCCTCTGACATTTATTTTTTATCACTTGCAAGTTGAAGCAAAGCGCGATAAATTGAAATTGGACGAGCGTGTTCGTTAATTATTGTTCAATATCGCGTGGCTGTGAAATCGTCGAGCCAAATTCGAAGAAACAAACGTGCATGCTTGCTTAAAAAAATACGCGCACACTCTGCGCACGGCCGTGGTTACATATTTAATAACAAAGATACGAGCCAGCCTTCATTTCATCGCGAATGCGCGCGCGTTATTATGCGGTATCGTGAAAAAAGAGCACTCAGCACCCCCGTTTTAAAGCTCGAGCCTACTCCATTACAGGCCACTGCGTCACTGAGGCTACTTTTCCATATCTTTCGACTTTTCAACGCGCTTTCTGATGGATTTCCGTCATTCCCCAAATTATTCACTGTATACAACCAACACACTCGTAGAATTACATAAAAAAAAAAAGAAAAGAAAACACTTATTACGACGTACAGAGTGGAAATTGTGTTCATTAAGTTTTGCGGGTAGTTTTGAGATTTTTTAATCGCGATAAAATTCTTCGTATAAAATATTACGGAATAGAGAGGTCTTACTTCTATATCCGGAAGTTGCAAGAATGAAAGATTTCCATTTTCAACATGCCCTCGAAGGAATAATTTACGTGCTTCGTTTCTAATAAATCTTCTCCATGGTCGTAATTATTCATTCATATACTCTTAAACAAAAATTTAATTATATTCCGTGCAATTTAAAGATTGGTACAATTGTCAGACTGTAACGATCCTCAACTTTAAAGAAAAGACCAAAAAAAAGAAGACAAGATAGAAAGGTTAAAAAAGAAAAAGGATAGGAAACTTGAATTTTTTCACGTCCCGGGAATTCCACGAGGACCAATCTTCATTGCAGCGCACGGAGATTAATAAACAAGTGTAATCTCTCAAAAAAATCTCATCCTCAAA